CTTTTCAACAAACGTTTAAATTGTCTTCTTCTTAAATTGACTTCTTTTTATAGAAAATATCAGGATGCATAAATGTATAAAAAACTATGTAATTTCATTTAAGAAAATAATGTTAACTTGTATGTTCTTCACGCGTATATCTATTTCGTGTGAAACATTTTCTCAAATAGCGAATAGTTCTGAAAATAATAGCATTTGTTGATTAAAATCTTTGCATATGTTCCAAATGATGTCACTAAAGTAGCTAATACAAAACTATAAACTGCAAGTTGTTATTGAATAACTTGTAACTGTGAGCTAGAATATTTTGGATATTAGTCTTTCAGTTCTTGAGACTTTTATTTTAAATTTTTCAATATACATTAATGATTATATTAACCACCTTATTGTAATATAAACATTTGCTATTCTGTTTAATTTTAATTGACGGATTTAAGTTTCGTTCAAAATACAATTTATCCTTTCTGAAACCTAAAAAAACTTATATGAAACAATCAGAATAATTATATTTTTATAATTATTCTAACAAATTATAATAATTAATTATAATAACAAATTTAATACAAAACAAATTAATATGCACGTATGTAGGTAATAAGATTATTCTGGATTAAAAATTTGTTTATTTTTGATTTTTTAATTTCTGAACCACTCAAAGACAAAAAAGAGCATTTATTTGACTCATACCTAAAATTTATTTGCAATATACAAAGATAGAGTATCTTTAGAAAAAACAGAAGAATTAGAGAAGAAGTTTTGCACGATAGCAAAGAAATAGATAACTATTGCTATCAATGTCTTTAAAGTGCCCAAATGTTTAATAAATGGCAAGAGTACCTAGTTATTTAAATTCAAAATTATAATCTATAAAACAATAGTAACGAACATAAAAATACAAATAACTGAGGGCGCAGTTAATTAATACGATTTTCTATAATACAGTTAAAACATTTCTGTACCGTTGAAGCGACCGGGTCATTCAACTGAAAATGAACATGAATTAATTATTTCTGACTAGATTCCAAATTGACGCAGTGTTAGATGAGCGATTGTGAACAATTATAAAATTGTTTTGGAATTCTGTAATCAAATTACTAGAAAATCTAGAATTTCTGCAAAACAAAAGCAGAAGCAAACAATATTTCTCCTGTATAGTCTTTAAGGCTTAGTGCATTTAATGGCAATATTTTGAGCAGTAAGGCCTGTTACACATTGTTTAGCAATCGTCACGCGTCTAGAGTCGTGGATCAAACTTGATGATTCTAAAGTCATATAAGTACCATGAGAATTCTTGTTGACGAAGAGAATGAACGTTGAGGAGATTATATTATAATCACAACATTACTTTCGAAAGAAAACGAAAACGGGAATATCAGGGGCGACCCTAGAACTTTTAGATAAATGTATAAATATAAGTATGTACTAAATATATAATTCCTAATGGTTTTCGGAGATTGCGATTGATAAAAAGTGATAAAGAGACGTACTCAATTTCAAATGATACCTTTAGTCCTGCTTTTCACATAATGAATGAACTGTAGATGTATTTTCATACCGGTGAATTACTTCTAACACAATCCAAATACGTACTATGTTATTATAAAGTGTCATCTTGCAGTGGAAATAATAATAACGTATAACAACTGGTGTAACATGTGTTCGTATAGTCCGCTAATGTGCTATAATCGTTGTCATTATTTCTGAGTGGCATACAATGCCATAAAGCAGGACCAAGAAAATTTGAATTGCTGGAAAAGTATTTTATGTATTTTGGTTTCTTTCTTTTGGTTTCTTAATATTTCTTACCATGCCCAAATTTTGGAACGTGGGTACCCATATACCATAGAGATTGAATACTGCTGAATGATGGTTTCCTCTCATTATAAAAAGTAGCAATTTCTGTATCGTTAATGATAAATTATACCATTCTACAGAATATCTGAAAAAGCCATATTGAGATTAGTAGACGAGACAAAACAAAAATGAAACAGGACTTGATAACAGGACAAATAGAATGTTTCTATTTGTAAACTGTGATATTTCCTTGTTTAAGCATTTGCTTGTTTGTATAAGTTTGTTAGTTGTTTATCTTTCAAAGTAATTCGTTATTATAAAAAATTTTGCCAATGGAACTTATTATTCGAGGAGAGTACTTTATGTTAGGATATTGCTCTCGGGGAGATGTGCCGCCAATTTGGTTTTTTTAGAAGCGTGTGAGAACTCGAAAGTGTAAGCAAAAGTGAAAATTCGATGATCACGTCTTTCGAAATTTCCGATAGAGTCGG